GTGGTTAATGGGCACTGGTTCAATACTGTCTCCTCGTGGAATGTGCCACTGCTGAGGTAAACTAGTGCAGCTTAGCTGATCTGGGACATGACTAAACTTGTGGAGTTTGAGTCCCTGAAGGGATTTGATTAAGCCGATGACATGAGAGCAACGTCCAGCCAACCTGCAATGTAGTGTATAAGTGTTCTTAGTGGTAGAATAGTCGTGGTGACGAAAATAATGTTGCGCTTTATTATCAAAATTAAAATTAAAAAAACGAAAAAACCTTAACCTACCCAACTTTGCAAGTACACACGGCTTCTGATATCTTGTTGTCGTTGATTTCTAGATACAGTTTGTGCGGATCTTCGTTTTTTTTCATTGATTGCCAGCATTTTGCATCAACTCTTGTATCAGAAGGTGCACTAGCTCCAGTGTTTGGAGCCTGGCAAATCTTAATATCATGAACAAATCCTTGAATAAAATAGTTCAAACCCTTCTCCAAAACCTTCTGTGAAAGATCAGAATGATCTGGAAGAAAGGAAACCGAAATCTGGTCTGGAATTTTCGCCAAATTGTCTGAAGGGCTGGACACTCCGCTGTTCGCGCCCTCCATGTTTTCAAAAAAGTTGTGGGACAAGATGGCAGCATGCCGCACGCTTCCTTCTGATTGGTTGATTCTGCATTGCTGATTGACAGGTCGGAACTATGAATTTCGCTTTATGAGAGCAAAGCAGGAGCAGCAGTGAGAGCAAAAGCTACAAAGATATCGACAAACACTGGACGATAGATAACTTGCCTGTTCATGTTGAAGAATTTCTCAAATGCACAAGTCCAACTTCATGAGCCCCAGAAGATGGAACAGTTTTGGATTTCTTTCTCCTTCTTTGGTGAGAAGATCTGTTCACTAAAATTGTGGAGGAAACCAACCATCATGCTGAACAGTGCACTCAAACAAAACCACATGTGAAGAAATGCGTGCATTCTTCACATTTAATGTTTCGTATGGCATCAAGTCCTTGCCAGAAACAAGAATGTACTGCTTGAAAGACAACTTTGTTGGTGTTCCAACCGTTCAAAAAGTAATGCCAAGGAATTACTTTGAGAAGATTCGACAGTATCTTTGTTTAAACATGTTACCACAAGATGATCCTGCTTATGATAAGCTATTCAAAATGCGTCCTTTGTTGGATAGACTTGCCAGCACTTTCTGCAAAGAGTGTCAGCCATCAAAGTTCATTTCAACTGATGAAGGAATGGTCAAGTACAAAGGAAGACTTGGCTTCCAGCAGTATCTACTCATGAAGCCCATGAAATGGGGCATTAAAGTATGGGTCAGAGCCAATGCGATAAATGGTTTTGTAAGCACCATGCAGGTCTACATGGGCAAAAAAGATGCTAGCCAGCCTGAACACAGTCTTGGACGTTATGTTGTTTGCAATCTTCTGAGTGATCTAAAGGGAAAAAAATTATCACATCTTTTGCCATAATTTTTTCACTTCAGTTCAACAGGCTGAAGATTTGCTGTCCAACAAACTCTATATTTGCGGAACTACGTGTGCCAAAAGAAATGAATTTTGTAAAGACTTGAAAGCCAACAAGCCCTAAGTGAAAGTGCTCCACTGTGGCACATCTGTCTTTTGTTGGAAAGGGAACATTGTCTCATCCGTATGGAATGACAAGAAAGCTGTGGCTTTTATAAGTACCCAATGTAATGCTAAAGGAAACCAAACCATGCACAGAAAGCAGAAGGATGGAACATACATTGAGGTTTCTTCACTTCCAGTGGTAAAGCTTTACAACCAATACATGGTGAAAGTCAAGCATAGTGTTCAAATGTGGCAGTATTATGATACATCTCAAAGGGCAAATAGATGGTGGCAGTAACTGTTATGGTTTTGTTTAGATGTTAGCATTGTGAATGCACATATTTTGACACAAATTGCAGATAACCATCCAAACTTCACACAGCTTCAGTTTCACTTCCAAATGGAGAAGATGCTAATTAGCAACCTCTCATCACGGTAACATGCCCTTCAAGGAGGAACCATTCAGACCAGACATTGGCCTGTAAAAATAAGTAAGGGAAGATGTAAGAGATGTTTGAAGGGAAAAAGACAAAGTTCAGTCTGATGGGATGTAATTCATGTGGCAAGAGGTTCCGCTTGGATTGTTTCAAGAATCACAACACTGAAGCCTGACGTGGCACAAAATTCAAATGCCTCGAACAATGAACACTCTTTTGCTCCAGTTAAAAAAAAAACACTTTAGAAGACATACAGTGTTCTTCTCAAATTAATCATTTTCACTGTAAATATTTCTGTAAAACATTTTTGTTTGACCTACCTTGTATCAAGAAATTGCTTAGTAAAACAGCATATATGCTTTTGTTCATTGAATCAAAATGGTGTGAAGAACAGTTTTGTGTGATTTTGAGGTTTGTTTTGTCTACTTATTTTCTCATATTAAAGATGTTACTTATCTTAAATGAAAACTTCAATCTCTAAAGAATTAAGTTTCTCTGCATTGCTCAGTCTAAAATTGCCTGGTTCACTCACTATTTTGCTATAGTTCTATGGCACCTCAAATTTGCCTTTCAAAAGGCATCATGATACCCAAACCCCACAAGCAATTAGGGTATTTACCTAGATAGACACTCTTAGGAGTGAGAGGGCTAACTTATTTAATGATATTATTGGCTTGAGATTGTCTACAAAATCAGACAACTTAAGGCAATTTTGAGGCAGGAAAACAAAAGTTATTTGACTTTGAATCAAACTGAAACACTTCCTCATGCTTTGGTTGTTTTCACAAAGCATGATGAAGTAACAAGCATCCATGACACTAAAAAATCTTTGAAAATGGCCCCATAACTTTCCAAAAATAACCTCAACATTTCACCTCCCTACTGCTTTACTGTACAAGAAGGTACTCATATTTCAATTATAGGGGTGGTATTTGTTCCCGCAACTGAAAAATGTTTTGATGATGGACAAGAGACATTTGAAATATTACCCTTGTTTATGCAAGACCTTGTGCTAGACTATCAGGTTTCATTTTTGCCAAAGGACAATGTGAGAAGTGTGTTTACTGAAAGTAAGAAAGATTTATAAGCTTTATGTTTATGTCTTAGACCAAAATGTAATTTTCTGTTCTCATAGCTTCAGATTACTGAGATTCTACTGTCACCATTAAATCCTGAAAATCCAGGCCTGTTCTTCTTAAAGGGGGGTGGGTCTAAGGAGGGTGGGGCCTGCCCCTAAGACTGGTCAAAAGAGTAAGTGTAAAGATCAGACAGCATTGTTTTCACTTAAGCATTCTTAGCTCGATGTCTGAATAATACAGGAGATAGGATGCATGGTAGAGGGGGTTAGGGTAGTTTGTGAAATACAGGAATCTAATTATTCACTAAGTACTGACATATAACACATAACATATATCATCTGCAGATAATAAAAATGATATTTTTCAAATTTTCCGAGAAGGAAGAAGGCATGATGCTGGAATGTTTCAGGATTCTCAGCTCCTGCCGAGTTTGCAGATATTTGCTTTCAATCTTCATGGGCAACCAAAGTGCATCTATGGGGACCCTCCTTATCCCTTGAGGATTCAATTGCAGGCACCATTTTCCAACCGAGCGTTAACTCCTCAAATGCAGGCATACAATTCAGCCATGAGTGAAGTTCGATCCTCAGTGGAGTGGTTGTTTAGGGATTTCATTAATTATTTCAAGTTTTTGGACTTCAAAAAAATCTGAAAATTGGCTTAAGCAGTGTGGGGAAAATGTGTGTGATGTGTGCACTTCTTAGGAATGCACTCTCTTGCCTCAATGGCAACCAAACATGAGAGTTTTTGAGCTTGACCCACCCAGCTTACAAGATTACTTTGCTTAGAAAAAGTGTAAACATTTAACATTCATTACATTTAAGTTAAGATTTCCTAGACTTGAGTCTCAGAAATGGTGAAGTTTTGTCCCTAAATGAGAAAAAACTCAAATGTCAATTGTACACGTATGTTTCACAACCAAAGTCCTTTTGTATTGTAAGGACCATACATTAACTTACCATAAGTAGAATTAAAATAATAACAATTTTACGTCCAATCTTTGAGTAAAACTTTGATGAACTATCAGATTCTTCCAACTTGTGTCATTTGATAATTATTTCTTGGGATCTAAGCTTGATTCTGGTTTGCAAATTTATTTTGCAGTTTTACTTTTGTTTCCCTTTTTTTTTGATTTAGGGAAAATAGAAAAACCAAACTGGTTTTAATTTTTTCGACCAAAAACAAATTTAAACCACAAAATAAACCTGCCTTTTTCTAATTCGCAACTGAACCAAATGGGTTGAAAATATCAAATAATGACAACCCCACTGAACGCGGAAAACCCAGCAAAGGGTAACACCAACAATAAAAAAAGGTAGAGATCTTGAACCATGTTTTAAGATTTCTTTGGTAACAATCTTTCAATAAGGGTCATCATGGCTGCTGTCTGCTGTTGTTGCTGCTACATTATAGCTAAAATCTGACCCTGTCTGGCAGCTTCTTGTTGTTACTGTTGTTTCTTTAAGGCAAGTTCTTCTGCTCAAAACTCATTTTCCTTCCCTGTTTTTCCCTTCAAAAACTTCACTGCACCATTTCCACTCCACTGTCATTTGGTCTGCTTCCCTTAATCACCCTCAGCTTCAGATATTTTCTTTGTCTGTCCAAATCGCTCCATGGCCTCTTTTCACATTTTCTCTGCAGTTTGTTTGCCCGCCTCAATCTTCTTTAGGGCTTACTTAGAATCTCTGGATTCTGCTGCCAGTTTTTCTCACTCTATTATTTAATCCATTAAAGTTTCAAGTTCAGTCAGATTATCTACTGCAATGCCACTAACCACCACCAACTTACATATCATCCAGGAGAATTTCTTCGAGAAAGATTCCTGAAGATTTTATCGTTGTAAACCCTTTTATATTAAATGATTTTGTGTACAAAAGGTACATGTAAATAGACTACAGTTAGATACATCCCAGTAGAGAAATCAAATTGTAATGCCATACAGTAAATTTGACTTGAAACAAATAAAAATGAGTTGTAAATGTTATTTTAATCTTAAAAACAGGGAGAGTCGCTCCCAGTAAACATGTAAGCATATTATTTAGCACAATATTAAATGCATGCAACATCCAAACTTGGCCAGTGCACACAAAATTTAAAATTCCAAATAGATGTCAATTGAATGCGTTTCTGTCTAACAAGCTGTCAATAGATTTGCAAGGTTTGGAAAAAAACTATAAGCCATCCTGTCACCAGGGAATGAGTGAATTTTCATACATTAAGCTTAGGTGTTGTAAAATTGCCAATTTGGAGCCTATAAAACCAAATCAAAGTTTCTACATGGTCCTTCATAACCCCTCGTCATTCCTCAGCTTCAGCCACTTGAATTTCAAGTAGTCTTTGAGGTTTGATTAGGAAAACTTTGTACTTTCTCTTGCTGTTCACTGCGTTTGCCATGTGCTCACTGCCTTGATTCTTCGACAAACCTGGCAGCAAAAATAAAGGCAGGTTCACTTGGTAAGGAGCATGAAGCTTGATAAATATTCATGATAAACTATTTTTAAAGATGTTAAGTGTATTTCAACAGTTAAAATTGCTCAGGAGACTGTATGAAGCAGAGAAAGAAGCAAGATAAGTCCACGTACCACAGAGTACACCAAAACCTTCCCACTAGCGTAGAAGGATTACATGCTACGGCTGGATGGGAACAACTGACATGCTCAATGACTTGTTTTTTGACAATTTTATTCCGTTAGCCTTAGCAGCACCAGCCATAGCCATTTGCTTAAGCTCCCTAGTGATTCATATGTGACTGTAGCGTATTTAATTACTGGAAGATCAAAAGGCACAACGAGGAGTCTGGGGTAATTATTGATAGCATTTGCCACATCTCATTGTGCACGCCATGCCAAATCATATGAGACTTGCAGCACCACTGTCGCTTTTGGTGGTCAACAAAGCATGGCTGGTGCTGGCGGCTTTGCTTGGTTTGGCCTTCAGGTCAAACAAGAGGCAAAATCCTGAATTAATTCTGTCATAAAAGTCAACCTTTCAAACCAAAGTGTAGACATAGTGATACATACAATAAATATTCTTGGCACACTTTTGTAACATCAAGAATTATTTGATACATTTTTGTAATCTTGGTTATAAGATTCATACTATTTATATTTCACAGTATAAAATTGTTCTTAATACTGTACTTTGTCATCTTTGATATATTAAACATCAAGTACAGTATTAAATTGCTTAAACAAGTATACACCTGTTGTTCACTATATATCCAGTTTTAAAACTTTTTGTGGAACATTTTATTTTTATTTTTATTCCAACCCCCAACATTAAATTCTTGAAAAAAATTCCTGTACCACATAAAATATAAAATGTCTGGCCTTACTTCCTTAAAATTATAATCAAGTTATAGTCAATCCACTTTGCAAAAGTAGAAAGACAATAAATGAAGTCATTGAACTGCTAGCCGCCAAATACCAAGGTTCCAAATAATGTTCACTTTATTCTTCCTGTTATTTATCTCTGTACAAGTTCAAATCTATTCGAAATCTAGTAGAAATATACATGTTTCTGTCAGAAAGATTCTCAGGATAATCAAGCACATAAAGTAGCGTATACATGTCCGTTGGTGTCTCAAATTCCGCGACTAGTAGTCATTTAATTTTGTCTTACTAATAACAGATTGTTATGTCACTTCATAATAATTATGACGATAATTTCAGTAATTTCGTGTCATAGCGAAACAGTCATCAAGCCACTCTGTTAAGATTTTATCTATAAATTGTAAAAATGTTTTTCGATCTACAATCATCTTCAGTGTTAAGACAACAAAA